TTTCCGTACCACTGAGACACTGCTGGTCAGATACTCTCGATCACACAGCGGTAGAAGTTCATCAGTACAGCTGAAGACAGGTGGTGTCTCTTCAGTATCCTCAGGAAAAAGAGGCGTTGATGAGCCTTCTTAACCAGACTGGAGGTGTTAGTGGACCAGGAGAGGTCTCTGTGATGTGGGTCCCAGGAACTTGAAGCTGGAGACACGTTCAACAGCCATCCCGTTGATGTGAATGGGGTTGTGCGTGCTTCCTCTTTCTCTCCTGAAGTCCACGATGATCTCCTTCGTCTTGCTGGTGTTGAGGAGCAGGTTGTTGTCAGCACACCAGGCCAGATGCTGTACCTCCTCCCTGTAGACCGTGCCATCGTTGTTGCTGATGAGGCCAATCACCGCTGTATCGTCCGCAAACTTGATGATGGTGTTGGATCCATGTACAGGTCTGCAGTCGTGGGTGAAGAGGGAGTAGAGGAATGGGCTCAGCACAGAGCCCTGTGGTACGCCTGTGTTGAGTGTGATGGTGGTTGAGCAGGTGTGTCCTGACCTAACATACTGGGGTCTGTTGGTCAGAAAGTCCATTATCCAGTGACGGAGGGAGGTGTTGAAGCCCAGGTCTCCGAGTTTAGTGTTTAACTTGGAGGGGATGACAGAGTTGAATGCTGAGCTAAAATCAACAAACAGCATTCGTGTGTATGTGTTGTTATTGTCCAGATGTGTGAGCACAGAGTGCAGCGCAGTGGAAACTGCATCCTCTGTGCTCCTATTGCTGCGGTAGGCAAACTGGAATGGGTCCAGTGTGGGCGGAAGGCAGTTTTTCAGGTGTGCTAGGACCAGTCGCTCAAAGCACTTCATTATGATGGGTGTGAGTGCCACAGGGCGGTAGTCGTTCAGGCCTGTCGGGCTGGAGTGTTTCGGCACTGGGTTAATGGAGGTGGCTTTGAAGCATGCTGGCACAGCTGCTTGGGCGAGGGACAGGTTGAAGATGTCCGTAAAAACCCCCGTGAGCTGCTCCGCACATGCCCTAAGCACGTGCCCGGGGGTGCCGTCTGGACCAGCAGCCTTTCGAGCGTTGATCCGGCTCAGTGCAGCGTGGACGTCTGTCGAGGTGAGTGAGAGGGGCTGGTTGTCTGCAGGAGGTCTGTTCGTGGTCTGTGTCTCTCTGTTGTCTCTATCGAAACGAGCATAAAAGTGATTTAGCTCGTTCAGAAAGGAGACATCTGTGGTTATCGGGGTGGAGTTTCTGGGTTTATAGTCACTGATGGCCTGGATGCCCTGCCACATGCGTCTGGGGTCGGAGTTGGAGAAGTGATCCTCAACCTTCAGCTTGTAGCAGTGCTTGGCCTTGATGATGCCCCTCCTCAGGTTTGCCCTGGATACGCTGTAGGCCATTGCGTCATCTGATCTGAAGGCGGTGTTGCGGGCCTTCAGCAGGAGACGCACCTCCTTGTTCATCCATGGCTTCTGATTTGGGTACGTGGTGATCTGCTTCCATGTTGTAACACTGTCGATGATGGTGTTGATATAATCCAGCACAGAAGAAGTGTAGGTGTCAATGTCTGTGTGAGAGCCCAAGGTAGCCTGCGAAGCAAACATACTCCAGTCTGTGTGATGGAACTTGTCCTGAAGTACAGAGTCTGTCCCCGCTGGCCACACTTTAATCGTTGTTACTGATGGCTTCACACGTTGGATGAGTGGGGAGTACTTGGGGATGAGGAACAAAGAAAGATGGTCTGACTGTCCCAGGTGGGGGAGGGGGGTCGTGGTGTAGGCTCCTGCGATGTTTGTGTAAACATGGTCCAGAGTTTTGTTTCCTCTTGTATTGCAGGAAACATGCTGGTGAAATTTAGGGAGCACTGTCTTTAAGTTTGAGTGATTAAAATCACCTGCAACTATAAATGCAGCCTCCGGGTGAGCAGTCTGTTGTTTGCTGATAGCTGTGTAAAGTTCCTTCATAGCAGCTTTTGCATCGGCATCCGAGGGGATGTAGGCTGCAGTTACAATAGTGGAGCTGAGCTCCCTTGGCTGATAGAAAGGTCTGCATTTAACCATGAGAAACTCAAGGTTAGCTAAGCAGTGTCTCCCAACAATGACAGAGTCGGTACACCAAGCTTTGTTAATATAAATGCACAGCCCTCCTCCTCTGGTCTTACCAGAGTCCTCGGCTATTCTGTCTGCTCGGTGTGTGTGGCGACCGGCTAGCTTGATAGCATCGTCCGGTACTCCGTTGTTTAGCCATGTTTCCGTGAAGATCATGACATTACAGTCCATAATTCTCTTGCTGTGGATGATGCGAAGTCGTAACTCGTCCATTTTGTTCACCAAAGACCACACATTAGCGAGGAAAATGCTGGGTAACGGGAGACGGTGCGGTGTTAGCTTTAGCTTAGCCCTTATACCTCCGCGCTTCCCCCGCCTTTGTTTACGGTCTTGACGCCGCCTGCGAGCACTTCCGCCCGGCCGGGTAGAGTGCGTAGCCTCGGGTGTATTGGCGATCTCAGGGATGAGTCGAAGATTGTTGATTAAATCGTCAGGGAGGTGTATTCCGATATCCAAAAGTTCCTGTCGGGTGTAGGATGTTAAGGCGAGGCTGTTCCGTGCGAACAGACCCGAAATTAACAATAAAATTACTGCAAAATTGCAAATCTGAGAGAGATGCTGGGCCTCGCGATGCGCTCGCGCCGCCATCTACCGCCATCTGTGTAGTGACTAAAAGAACAAGATCGCAGATTCAAGCGTCTGAAATGAGATACCTACAGAGGATGGCTGTACTCAGCCTTAGAGATAGAGTAAGGAGCTCAGACATTCGGGGGGAGATCGGAGTATAACCGCTACTCCTTTGCATTGAAAGGAGCCAGTTGAGGTGGTTTGGTCGTCTTATTAGGATGCCTCCTGGACGCCTTTCTTCTGAGGCTTTCTGGGCACGCCCATCTGGGAGGATACCACGGGTAGACCCAGAGTTCGCTGGAGGGATTATATATCCCGTCTAGCCTGGGAACGCCTTGGAATCCCTCAGCTGGAAAACGTTGCTGGGGAGAGGGAAGTCTGAAATATGTACAATACGTGTCTTTTGTGTGTTGTGTTTTTGGCAATTTCTCTGGCATTTTAATGACACCTGCCAATCATTCACACTACAGTACTGAATGGAAGAGGCAGCTACATCCCATAAAGAGATACTGCTTGGTTTTTTAGTTTTCTTTCAGTTTGGTTGCTGCTCTAGGTTCCACCAAAGTCTAACTACCAACTGTTGAAAGTTATTTGAAGAATAATTTTCTTTTCTTAAATGTAAGAAAGGGGGAGTTCGCCCTGCTAGTCCATTTATCCTAGCCGTCCTCGCTTCTCAGTTATTAAATGTGAGCATTATATAGTTTTGAGACCATTTGGGATTAACATATTCGTAATATTTATTGTTTATATTTTGTATTTTGTGGTTGTATATGTAAAGGAACTTAATGAATATATGTACATTCTTAAAGCCTTCACTCTCATTTTTTCAGATATTTAAACTTCTGCCTGAGAAAAGAGATTATGTTGATGATCCTAAATTATGTATAAATGTGAAACGCACGAGATCTACACACAGACGCCGTAGACCGAGCAGTGAATATGGTGGTCATGAAGTTTTTGTGGTAATTATTTTTATCTAATATATTTTGCAAATATATTTTTGGTATCAACTTGGCATTGAAAATGAAATAGAATTAGTTGAATTACTAAACTACATGATTCACATTGATTACGTGGCAGCGTTGTTTCTCTGATGTCATCTCTTAGAGAGGGAAGCACAAACCCTGAGTTATCAAATAACATGTTGTTAAAAACTCACAAGGACAAATGATTCATAAAAGCTAACATTAGCATTCAACCAATTCTCTGCTTACATTAACCTGACGTGGCTAACATGAGCAGGAAATCTGAATGTATAGCCCAAAATAACACCAACTCTTCTATTTCAGTGCTGGAGTAAATGCATTTAATTATTTATTTATTTTTTATGTCATTGTATCTAATTAAGTGTTTTGGCAGGTTAAAAATGTTTCTGCTGGTAAAATTATTTGGCTTCTAGCCATTGACAGATTGACCAAAGATACATTCATAAGATAGGACATGCAGCGCAGGTTCCTATTTTCCACTGACACAGTTGTAATTTTCTCACACATCGCGCACGTTGTGTAAATAGCAAATGTTCTTGTGCCCATATTAGCGCCTATGGATGGGTTGGTCTTAAAATGCGGAATGAGAAACTGAACCTCTGACTGATTTGATTCATGTTGCTCCAAAAACATCTATAAATAATTAAGTGTATTAATCCAACCCCTTTGTGACCTGTGCCTCGCTAAGCGTCTTGATTTTGCGCTGTGTAATAACAAATGTAGTCTGAGACATCCCAAAATCACTTTGTACCACATGTTTTGGACAACGTACATTAGAATGCCAAAAAAGGTCTCTAAAACAGCATTTGAGTTTCCCACTCTAAGCTTGGCATCAGAGGAAAACAGCCACCGTGGATATATTGTGGGTGAATGCTGCTCCGTTTTGCACTGACATCACTCTTTGCTGCCTGTTTATCCAGAAATTGGGGCTGAAGATTGTAACAAATATGTTTACCAGGATGCCTTCATGTTTGAACTTCAAGGGGACAATATACGGTGAAAACGGTGGGTGAGATGGCTTTTTTTATTTGACTAGAAATTTAAACATCCTGACAAGCTGTACAAGCATTAGTTTAGGGAAGTTCAAATGACAAGTTTGACCTCTGACTTGGGTTAAATGTTCTTCTGTCCTCAGATGATCTTGCCATTTGCAAATTTCCTGGACCTACGACGACCTCTGAATTAATCAAGTCGATGATCCGCACTTTCTTCCCTGAAACTTGGATATGGAAACTGGTGGAAGTTGGGTGAGTTTCTGTTAAAGCGTTTTCATTTGAGAATCGTGTTTTTTTTTTTTAATTAAGAGTATTTAATAAAAAAAATGTAAATACATTTTAATCTAATTTTTATAGGGGAATGTATAGATCAATGAAATATCTTTTCTTATGTCTGCTCATAAACTTTGTGAGAAGTTCTGCTTGATTAATTACCTGAACTTTGGAAGTGAACTGTGTCTCATTTTGGGGCTAGCATCCTTCGAGGATCTAGCCCATGATGGTCCCGACCTTTTGTAGCCTGTGTACAGCTCAGTATGACCTAAAACAGACGGTCTGGTCTACAGAAGATTTCCTGTTTGCGTGACCAGCTGTCCCCCGCACTACCCTTTCAATACTAAGTGCTGACCTTGACGCCTAGCAACCTCAACAGCGGCACCTCAACTTGCAAACATAACGATGGTCACTTTACCGAATCTAACCTATTATCTAAAGATATTCAAGTTTCAATGCCCCTTTTGTAGGAAGCAACACCCTAAAGCACTCTCAGCTTAAGCATCTATTTGACCTTAAATTGGCCCATTATTTACAAAATTAACTTCATGCTATTTTGAAGAAGACTTGAAAGTTGCGATCAAAACCCTTAAACTAATTAGGACATTTATTGAGATAATAAATTCAAAGCACAAAATTTAGAATTTTATTAGAACTGGACACTCAAATATCTAAATAGATTAAAAATGGACTTTTAATGAAATTGAAATGAAATTCGTAATTTAATAGTTGTAACGGGACGTGTCTTGTCGCGGCGACAGCCATGTCAAAGCCATCACGACAGACACAACATGTTTGTCGTTGACGTGGAAACACCGGATAGTAAGTCAGATACAGCTACATAGAGAAGCGGGACCTGCTACCGAAAGTTGCCGTATTGTTGCTGTATGCTGTGCTGCTGTGAGAAAAACGTCATGTAAATAAATCATACTTGGATTCACATGATGTGTATATTCTCGTTCTAAGTTTTTATATTTTTAGTGCTTATTTACTTTGTATTTAATATTTTATTCTGCATACTTGCTAATATTGTGTGTTTGGATAACCTGCTGCTGTAACGCCACAATTTCCCAGTTTGGGATCAATAAAGTATTCTATTCTATTAGCTCGTCAGTAAACCTATTCTCTTCCTTGTGTCTGTTTTTCCCGTTCGTCTTGACTGCGGTCCACTCAGAGTTCGTTTTAATGTTTTGATATAATTAGACCAGTGGAGTCATCCCCTGCTGTACCTTAGAAATAATGTGGGTTTGAGTAACTGGCTGTAATTTAGAAGAGGCTACAGCCACTTGTTCTGAAGAGGAATGTTAAGATGGCAAATTAATTGAAAATAAAGACTTAATGTATAGCAGATTATGAAAAAATGGCTCTACTTCTTAACTGATTTAAAAACCTCAGTAAACATTCACTAATGAGTTTATGGTCCCCATCTGTAGTTTTGAGTTTTCTCATGCATCATGATGTTCAATTTCCAATTCGTGGTCCCATTTACAGTCATATTTTGAGAGATCAGGGTATGCTTTAGTAGGTGGCTGCCTGTGATGTGACTGGACTCTGAGAGGAGGCTGAGGCACATCATCTTTGTTTTCTTTTGCTTCTCTGATGTTTGATATTTGTCCTTTACCCTTAGATATATTTTTTTGTTAACTAAACCTGACTACAAACAGAGCAGGACTGGTAACAATGTATAGCAATATTCAGATTTCTTTTTTCCAGAAAGAAAACTCTTTAACATGAACCAATCATTGTTGTATCTCTAAAGTTCAAACAAGAATGAAAACCGCAAGCAGTGATGAAGGGCCCTCGTACCCCTGTGCATGTCGGGGTGTGTCGCGACTGCGGAAGTGCAGCAGCAGCGGAATGTGGCTAAGCAGCTGGCCGTGCAGTCCGATTTGTGTAAAAGTGGTACTATGATATGTTGAAATAGGCAACTTAATGTAGAACACATAACATTTTGACGTAGAGCAGTTATGGCTGGCACTGTCATGATAGCTATGAAATGTAGAGGAAATTGCGCATTGTATATAGGATGTAGGACTTACTCTTTGCAGTAGGGGGCGCTATGGTTAAACTTTATTATTGATTTGGGATGGTGTTCAGAAGCCAACCTGATCATACATGTGAAATTCGGGGGAAATCAGACATTGTGTATAGGATGTAGTACTTAGTCATTGCAGTAGGGGGCGCTATGGTTGAAGTTGACTATTGTTATGTTCATGTATTCAGTGGCCAACCCTGATCATGCATGTGAAATTTCAATCAGATCAGACAAAGTATCTGAGATGCAGTACCGCCTCTTTCCAGTGGGGCGCTATGTTAATGGCATAATTGTGTTAGGTTAGATGTGATCAGGTCAGCCATGTGAAATTTGGCGAAAATCTGACATTGTATATGGGAGGTAGTACTTGTACTTTGCAGTAGGGGGCGCTATGGTTACAATTTATTATTGCTATGTGACTGTGTTAAGAGGCCAACCCTGATTATACATGTGAAATTTGGAGCAAATCTGAAATTGTATATGGGAGGTAGTACTTGTACTTTGCAGTAGGGGGCGCTATGGTTAAACTTTATCATTGTTTTGGGATAGTGTTCAGAGCCAACCCTGATTATACCTGTGAAAATTGGAGCAGATCAGACGAAGTATATCAGATGTAGTACAGTGTCTTTCAAGTATGCAGCGCTATGTCAGTGGCCCAATTGTATTAGGTGAAATATGAGCAGGGCAGTACTGAGATCATTCAAGTGAAATTTTAATAACATGTGACATTTTATATGGAAGGTATTACTTAGTCCTTGCAGTAGGGGGTGCTTTGGTTGAAGTTGACTATTGTTATATCAATGTGTTCAGAGGCCAACCCTGATCATACATGTGAAATTTCAATCAGATCAGACAAAGTATATAGGATGTAGTACTTAGTACTTGCATTAGGGGGCGCTATGGTTGAAGTTGACTATTGTTATGTCAATGTGTTCAGAGGCCAACCTGAACATACCTGAGAAATTAGAAAAAGATCAGACAAAGTATATAGGATGTAGCACTTACTCCTTGCAGTAGGGGGCACTATGGTTAAAGTTGAATATTGTTATGTCAATGTGTTCAAGAGGCCAACCCTGATCATACCTATGTAATTTCAAGAAGATCAGACAAGGTATATATACAGCCACTTCCTGTTTGATGTCGATGTGATTTGTAGACTTCCTGTTGAGTTTTGGGCGTGGGTTGAAGAGGCTTTTTTGTAGGTTTTGTCATGTTGGAAATGCATAGTAAAATTTAGAATTGTAGGTTCAACGTGCTGCGGAGGATGAATGTTTGAAATATTGTAGGGGGCGCCACTGAGCCATTAAGCCACGCCCACTCCCTTAAATGATAAAATGTTTGACTTTACTACCAGGATTATATGTATGAAGTTTCTGGACAGTACGACTATGTTAAGCCCGTGAAAAAACTACTTCCTGTTCGATGGCGACAGCGCGTCTGTATGGCGACAGCGTTGGACGTAGGCGGTTGAGCTTGAAAGTCTTGTATGGCCAAGGTGTTAGCATGGTCTACACCATTTTGAGGGGGAATTGAGCTACCGTGTAGCAATGGCTAATGCTAATTGAGTAGAAGTAACTTCCTGTTGTCAACAGGTGGCACTGTGACTTATCCAAACGTTTCAAACATGGATGTGTTGAGGGCAGGCCCTGTATCATGTATAACAAATTTGGATATGATTGAACCATGCATAGCAGATATAGGCATTTATTTTTTTGGCAAGTTGCCAAAATGCATATCAAAACTTTGCATGCATGCCACGGCCATGCCCTTTGACGAAATAAGGTGCAGACAACGGGATATGTTGAACGTGTCTAGAACACACTGACACTGAGTTTGCGCCAATCGGATGAGTGCCCTCGGCCAAGATCCTTCAAATAGGAAGGCTGAAATCTGTGGACTTTTTGTTGGGGTTTTTGAAACGCTGCAAGAGGATTTTATGTCCATCCTGACAAGCTTAATACACGTAGCAATATTCATGAATGTGCGTCAAAAAACCCTCTATGGGGAGGCCATTTTGAAAATTTGAAGGGGCGCCACTGAGCCATTAAGCCACGCCCACTTACTTAAACAAAAAATGTTTGACTTCACTAGCAGGACCATATGTATGAAGTTTCGGGACAGTATGACTATGTTAAGCCCGTGAAAAACTACTTCCTGTTTGATGGTGAGCGACGCGCTCTGTATGGCAACAGCGTTGGACGTAGGCGTTTGAGCTTGAAAGTATTGTATGGCCAGGTGTTAGCATGGTTCACACCAATTTTGAGGGGAAAATGAGCTACCGTGTAGCAATGGCTAATGCTAATGAAAAGCAGTAACTTCCTGTTGTCAACAGGTGGCACTGTGACTAATCAAAAAAAATGTCAATCATGGATGTGTTCAAGGTGGGTCCTGTATCATGCATGAGAAATTTTAAAATGATTGAACACTAGATGGCAGAGATATAACATTTACTTTTTTGGCAACTTGCCAAAACGCTCAAAAAACTTAAAATGCATGGCCACACCCTTTGACAAAATAACGTGCAGCGCAAACGGATATGTTGAACCTGTCTAGAACGCACTGACACTGAGTTTGCGCTGATCTGCCCTAATAATCGCTAGGGTTTCAAGATTGTCCTCGCACGGTTCGTGCTTCGGGCCCTAATCTACTGATCGAACACTTCCCGCGTAGTTGGTTCATCCTGTGCATGCATCAGCGTCTTTCGCTCACTGGAGAGAAACGCTGCCAAAACTTTTTACTTTTTGTCAAGTTTTAACTACTTCCTTGGTTATACTTGTGTTTTTAAGTTTTAAGTATTTATTCAACATAGATAAACATTTTTAGCCTTTGGGTGTTTGGATATTACTTTTAAAGTGTGGTAATCACTGAAGCCTGCCACTGGAAGACTGCTGCTAGCTTAAACATGTTTGTAAACATCTGGAGCTAGCCATGTCT